ACGGGAAACAATCATGTTGACGTTAGCGAGAGTCTCAGGTCCATCTCTATGCTGTTGAGAACCTCCTACTCTTCTCCCTTAGACGTAACAGCACTGAGAACTGTGATTGCCCAGGGTTCCTCCAGCAACGTTGGAGTCCAGGTGTGCAAGGAGGACAGTAGTGACCGACATTCTCACACATACCCTTACCCACACTGTTGTGAACGCAGCCTCTGAGATTCAAAGGTAACTTAAACCTTTGGGTGAGTACATCTTTACAGTGTTTTAATGTCGGAGGGATCATGCACAGAACTGCACCAATACTTAGCAGGCACATACAAAATCAGCATCTGCACGTAGAAACCAGGTGTTTTGATGCAGGCACACAACTGTCTGCAGCTGCTGTGACAAGCACTGCTCCACATACCAGTTGTCCTAATGACTGGGCACTTGACCCCTCACAGATCCACTGAGTCCTATTTGACAAGTCACAGAAAGAGGCTGGCAATGCCAGATACTGGAAGCACATCCTTCATATAACAAACACAGTTGCAAGGAGTAACATTCACTGCCCAATTTCTTAACATTTCCTTTTTGCTGACAACTTTATGGCTCAGCTTTTTTCCCCTCAATAAACACGAATATAGACTAAGTAGAGAAAATCAAATATAAAACCTCTAATTCCGGACAACAGAACTGTCACAGAGCAATCCAGAAAAAGGTTCTTTAAAGACACTTCCTTTAAACTTTTTATAGCCCATAATCTTCTACTTAAAAAATGAATCACCAAGTTTAATGTTACAAGACAACCTTCTTTCTCTGCAATATCTACGGTAGCTGTAAAAGTGGAATCACTAAGTTTTAGTATATTTATGGTAGCTGTAAAAGTAAAAGTACTCAGTTTCTTTTCAAGATTGCTAGTGTGTGACACTTATAAATTGCTCAAGACAATATAGTCCTTCTGGTGTTAAAAAAAAACACGTTCAAACAGGCTCGCTGCGCCCCTAAGGAGCCCACAGATAGGCAGCTCCAAAAGCAATAACCGGATGCAGGCTCTGATTGCCTGAGCGAAACAGTTTTAAATTACATTACCGGTTCCCCAAGAGATCCTGGCTTGCCATCCTTGCCGTCGTTCCCAGCAATGCCCTGTAAATGAAATGCAAAGCAGGGTTGAAGGAAGGCGTCAATAGGGAAGATGATTGGTGTGGTTTTTGTCAGTGTGAGTTTCACAGCGACAACTTGACTTCATCATGGCATACTTGAGTTTGCCTAACCCTCCAAAAACTACCCCGTTTCTATGGCTCAGCCATAAATCTTTCCTTGCCACGCCACTGTAACAGCATAAACTGTTTCCCTTTCCAATACGGCAAGTCTAAGGGGTTTCCTGATTTCCAGCAAGGTAAGCACTCCAACAGTATTAAAACAGGAGTCTATAAACATCTATTATAAATCATTATAATGCCATTATCTTCATTCAGCTAGACTGCTTTACACTAGAAATAGCTCTGGCCCTATCCCTATGAAGGATAAAAAACCCCAAAATGTTGTGCTAACACGCTTTCCAGAAGAGAAGAGTCTATGCCCGAGATGTACTTGATCTTGAGTCAGTGCAAAGGAATTATTCTGACTGCGGATTCAGATAAAGACGGTATTCCAGTCTATGAATATTTGTGTCTTTACACTGGAGCTATCAATTGATTTTTGTGCTCTGCATAAAACTATTTCTTCCAATGAGGAGCCAGATAAAGAACAGACCTGATTCATGTTGGTAATTAACACACAGCTTTAAAGTGATCAAACACAATATTCACACTGTCCTGGACCAAGGGCACAGCATCAACATGACAGATGCCATTACAGATCATGTATAGCTTTCAAAGTGCCTCAAAAATATCACCTGTTTGTTTTACACACCTGTGTGTTTGCAAACAATTTAATGTATTGAATGAGAAGGAGCTGAATTGCACTCACTGGAAGTCCAGGCAACCCTGGTGGGCCCTGTGGACCTGGAGGGCCATCTTTACCCTGGAATGAAAGCAAAAACACTGCAGGTCGGACAAGCTCTTCAGATGTTTTGATCAGATGAAGATTTAGGAAATGTAGACTTTGACAAGGGATGACTGTGAGAAGCTGGTCTTGCAGCCTATGCCACACAGAATACAAGGTTTCCTGGAATTTCTTTTGCTTTAAACTGGAGGGTTTTCTTTTCACATAAAATATCCAGTATTATTTATAAGTTGTTACAGACAGAGAAACCACAGAAATCACTGGTAATTTTTTCTGAAGAGAGAAACCACAGAAATCACTGGTAATTTTTTTCTTTAATTATATTTGAATCTTTAACTTCTAGCATGAGATGTCCTACCAAGAAATACAAGGTTTATATTTTATATCTACTGAATCAATAGTTATGAGAAGTGCCTTGCTCACAGTCCTGAGAAATCCCCTACTGGACAACAGCATCCAAGGTCTTTCAGAACCTTGATCACTCACTTGAAAGGGAATCTCAGCCAGCCTGTCCATGCAGTCTCTGGCTTCTGTGCCGAGAGTGCCCACTGATTTCACAACAGCCATCAGAGGGACCATGACTGGCCACTTACGATGAAGTTCAGATTAAAATGGATCTGCAAAAGGCACCTTGCTCATTTGGAAACCCTGCTGTAGAAATCAATCACAGAATTACACAGTCTTAAACTGTTCCAGCTCGACAGCATGCACTACTCAGGGAAGGTTCATTTTTTCCTTTTCAACCTGAAGTTAGCATCAATCTGATTCTCTGTCTCTCCCAGGGTTTTCTGATGCATTACCATAAAGTAGCATCTGAACACCCTTCAAATGAAACAGCGATAGCAAAATTCTCCATGGACTTCTTGAAGGTTACATCTGTACTAGCATTTTCAGTGATACCAGGGAATGGTCTCAGGCCCTGGCATCTGGTTTCATTTTGACAATCCTCACAGACAGTTCAGGTGTTAGCCTGGGCCACGAAGCATCCTAATAGTCATCCTGTTCTAGAGGCTAAGAGATGTTAATGGGAAGGACAGACAAATAAGAGGTACAAAAAACTCCTTAGAGGTCCCATGGACTGGTTTATGCTCTGGCTAATGTGGAGTTTCTTTTAGTGAGTCAACGATACTGGAAGAACAGAGTAATCTGTGGTTATTGGTGGAGGTTCTACTTGCACGTGTAGACTTGATTCAGATCAAATAGTTTGGGGAGCTTTGAAAGGACATAACATGGGTTCTAGCTCAGCTTCACAGAGCCAAATATAGGTGAAGATGGTGGTGAAACACACAGCCTAGGGCTTACTATGTCTCCTGGGCTTCCTGCAGGTCCTATTGGTCCCGGTGCCCCATCTGGTCCCTAAACAAAATAAAAAAGAAAAAACATGAATGATTAATGTATTTTGTACATTTGCCAACAGACGCCCTACCACAGCTGGCAACACTGAAGTTTTCTTCAGTCGCTCAGTTCAGCATTCATTCCATCATTTCTTCATTCATCATGGAAAAGCAGTGCCAACCTTTGCATTCAATCAGTCTCCAAAGCCAGAAATAGACAGATATTTGAGTTTGATCCTGGCCCTTCCTTCTGAAAATAGGGGACAATTAGGAAAAAGCCAATCTTATGACAAAAATAACTCTGAAGAACAGAAATTATGGGAGCAGTCTGAAGCATACTCTGTGGCAGGCAAACTCCTGGAGCCACGAGTCAAGGCAGACAGAGGAAAAAGTAAGCAAAAGCTGAAGAAAAGGAATATCTAAGGGAACATTACGTTTTGCTCTGCTTGATAGGATCAGTTTTACTTTGCACATTTCCTTTGACTGTGAGTCTATTCAGAGGATCCATAGGACAATTTTAAGAGTTTTAATCCTACTGGAATAACCCTATGGCTGTGGCAATATGAGGTTAATACAGACACAGTAAAAGTGTCTGTGTTATTAGTTTCTCCTAAAATAGGGCTCACAGGAGTGCAAATAACCCACAAAGCAGGTCCACGTGTTGCCACAGTGGCAAAGCATTCAGCATCCTTTAGGCACTGCTACCATCTGAAAACAGAATTTTAATCTAATCCTCTTTTCTGATACCTCCTGTCATTTAGTCACTGTAATATAAATCCAGCTTTGAAGAGACTGTGCTGATCCCCAGAATAGATGAAGGCTGAGCACCCTTAGCATGGCAGAGCCAAACTGCACCGTAAGCAGCAGTATAAGTGGTTGGGCAAAGAAAGGTGGTTTGGAAAGAAAAGCCCTTTGCTCAGCAAAAATCCTAACTCTTCAAGGGCATAAGTGGTGATATCACAAGCAGGAGGGCCAAGTTATTTCAGCCCTGATTCTGCACTGTCACCCCTTTTTAAATACAAAGAAGCATAATTGTATTCACAGAGAGAGTAGAGCTAGGAATGAGAAGGACCGTGATGGAGAGGGACACATGGAAAAGGCCGTTTAATTCAAAAGTAACCCACAGGATATGAACATTGGAGAAAACCCAGTCTCATACCACTGTGTAAAATTGAGAACTAAAATACTCTTAAATCTGCTGTTCTAGCCTGACAACTTATTCCACGTCAAAGAAAACACCTATACACATGCTACTAAGTAGTCTCTGCGGAAGAGTTTTCATGATCATTGCCTTGTATAAAGAGAGCGACTGAAGCTTAGCATCAATTTACAGAATGAGTTGAAGCAATCAGTGAGAAGTGGCCAATGTATTAAATAGCAATTATCATGAGTGAGTAGCTCTATGACACTCAGGGGACCATTAGGAACCCCCTGGAAAATGCAGATGCAATGCACAGACAGGTGGGAATGGTCCTTTATTCCATATGGAGCTTTCAACAACCTTTATTAGTAAGGAAAATAGAGGACCATCTTTGCAACAGAGGAACTTACAGGCGGACCAGGGTTTCCAGGAGCCCCTGAGAAGCCAGGCATTCCAGGGTGGCCCTGCAGAACAAAAAGAGAGACTTGCTTTATGCATCATTCACATCTCTAGTTCCATAAAAGTTAACTGGTGATTGAACATTGTGAGGTAACATTGAAATGAGACAACACAGAGAGCTGATTATAAAGAAATAGGAACCATGTCTTTTTAAAACAAAACCTTGGTTTTCAAAGCATGCACTTCAGAAATAAACACAGTTAGATTTAAGGTGCAATTTTCTTAATGTGTACTTTAGTCTATACTAATGGGGGATGAGAACAGATATTGTGGAATTGTGTAAGGGAGGAGATCAGACAGGAAACCAAACCTGTTTAAAATATCCTACAAATCTCATTGAAAAGGTGCTGATTTCTACATTTAACTATGGACCCAGCCCTTGGTAAAATTAACTATGAAAGTTTGCTGTAGTTTAGACCATTCTCCTCTTTCCTGTGGCATCTCACTGTTTCCTAAAAGAGGTCATCATTACATTCATCTTCTAGGACAAACACTGGCTTTTTCAACCCAAAGACACCTGACCTTCTGTATCTCATCTAGGCATTATCTGGGGAAATGACTAAAGGTTGGGTAACGTAGAGAACTGGAGGTGAGGAAACAGATCATATGGGAAAGTTTTATTGGAGCTGGGGATGGAAGTCCGTGGAGGACTGCTACAGTTCCACTCTTTGGTATAGCCCATTTTAGGTTTATCAGTGATGAAGAGTTCCATCTTCCTCCTCTTTCTCTGACAAGGGTGTTCCTCTACTGACTTCATAGGAGTTATTGATGAAAGAACAATCACAGTGATGGCACTGTCGGAAACCACACTTTATTTTTACCTGTTCACCTTTTTCACCTGCATCCCCAATCACACCACGGTCTCCTTTAGCACCCTGATAATGAAAAAAAAAGCCATTGAAAGTCACTTAGATTCAGTATTGTATCAGCTTTTTGACCTATTTCATAGGAACTTCACTAAATCAGATCTTGGTAAGGCATCATCTGGCCCAACAGAGGCGTCCACAGTATGAGTCAGTAACTTCCTTTCCCTTCAGGAATAACAGCAATAAAAACAGTGTTTCTAAGCTGTGGTCAGAAAATTAATACCCAGAAAGTGCTCCCTTCTTTCTCTCTTTCTGTCCTAGTGACAAGAGAACAGAGGCAGCTAACTCAAATGTAGATGTCAGTAGATTATCAGTGCTTAAGGTAAGGCAAGACAAGTCTCACACAGTGAAAAATACTAACATGATGTGGAACAAATTCTGAACAATGCACAGAACACTAATGAATTGCTGGCCATGGAAATAACACTCTGATCTACTACCTGAGAGCTAGGAGACAAGTGAGGGAAGGAGGGCTGCTATTTATTAATTAAAAGAGGCCTAATTCATGGAAGCATAGAATCATAGAACAGTTTGAGTTGGAAGGGACCTCAAAGATCACCTAGTTCCAACCCCCCTGCCAAGGGCAGGGACACCTTCCCCCAGATGAGGTTGCTCAAAGCCTCATCCAACATGGCCTTGAACACTTCCAGGGATGGGGCATCCACAACTTCTCTGGGCAACCTGTTCCAGTGCTTCACCACCCTCAGAGTGAAGAATTTCTTACTTATATCTAATCAAAATCTCCCCTCTTTCAGTTTAAATCCATTGCTCCACACCCTTGCCAAAATTCATATTGCCAGAAGGCATGAAGCTGCTTGTGAGCAAAGATCTGCAGTTCTACTGCTCTGTTTCAAAATGGGACCTAATACTAGTTTGGATGGTGTTGGTAAGGACAACATACTACACCTTCAAAAGCGCAGAGCTCTTTGGGTCTTTCACTGCGAGGATCCTCCTAATGTATTTAGAAAGGAGTCACAAAGACTGTCTTTGTGTTTGCACCTTCTTAGGGGCCTTACAATATTTTCTTTTAACATTTGCAAACTCTGTGATTCTGCCTTTTTACCGAATACAAATTAGACTATTTATAAATTATTTTATTTTATGCGCATGTACAGTTTAAAATTCATCCTCTTACTTCACCTAAACTTGCTGCCCAAATCTCTGTTTTCTCATAGCATATAAGAAAGCAGCAGATGTGGCATGTCTCAGACTGCTTGGTGTTGCTCTCAGTTACTAATTCTTTTGCAAATTTTACCCTGGAACATACTTTCATTTTGATGAAGCCTATATTTACTTTTGAGACTCTACTGCTCTCCTTGCCATACTTTTAATTGCAAGATATAAAATTAATTCATGAATCTCTATTAGCTTGTCCTACACTCTAATAAGTGCAAATACAAAGATGTTAAAATAGCAGAAGTTGGTTTAGACAGTAAGTCAGTAATGCAGGGAAGTCTGGAGGAAATTGTGGTACATCATGAAACCACCTTATCTCTCCCTCCATTGATTTGTTTTGATTTATTTCACACTGGGCAGTTGTAAAGGTTTTGATTGTGACCAGGCACTGGCATTGTGAGCAGACTGATTACAGACCTCTTTATGGGAAGTGCTTGAATTGTGACATTATTGGAATCCTTCAGACATTGCAAGTTCTTTGTTGTCCTATGTCCCTAGACTGTTTGGCAGTAGCATATGGATGAAACAAGGAGTTTTTCCTACAGCGTGTTTCAGGAAACATTTGAAGTCTGGATAAAACCACCACGGCAGATAGTGTATGTGGAGCCCAGCAGCCCATTGCATCACGCTTAATTTAAGTGATTCAAGCCTATAGGATTCAAACAGGAGAAGAACAGGCAGTATGTCTGCTGCTGAGGCTTTAATTTCTTCCTCACCTGGTGTGGATTGGAACTTACTCTAAAGCCCTCACCTCTCAAAAAAATCCCAGTGAAATGAAACTCAACATCAAGAATCAAGCCTGTGATAGTTTGATGTGTGGGGGGGTGTTCTGGTGGCAGGGGAGGGGATTTGCTCCCTGTGCCACCAGATCTGAGTCCCATCCCCCCCGGGGGAGGTTGAGCCAAATTGGCGCCTCTGCGAATTGCCCTATTTAAGTTGGGACAAAGGGGCGGGAAAGGGCTTTTTGCTCAGGAGCGAGGAGAGAGCAGGAGGGCGCTGCCCTCGCTCCCGGCTCCCGGCCGAGCGGCCGTCGGGCCCGGGCCGGCGCCATGTGCTCAAGATGGCGCCGGGGGAGCCGCATGGGGGACTCGGTAAGCGCCCCACTCCCGGGGTGCCCGCCGGGCCGAGCTTCCTCAGAGAGGATTAAGATCTAAGAGAAAAC